GGGGGGGCGGGGGAGACGCTGGGGCCCTGCCTGGAGCTCGTCTCCGGGCCGAGAAGCGCACCCGCTGTTTCTCGTCCCCCGGTTACCAGCGTGTGGTGCGTGACGCCTTAATAACCGCTTCTCAAGGGGGCTAAACTGTGAGGGGCTAGAGTTGCTTTAAAAAAAAAAAAAAAGAGGAAGGGGATAGATATGCCGTTAACATTGTAGGGCCGGCCGGCCGGGCGCGGCGCCTCGGCCTAGGATCCGCGAGGTGGGGGTTCGGTTCCGTAGGCGCGGGCTGCCCGGGCTGCGGCTGACCCCCAGCAGGGGGCGCAGGAGGCGGCCCATCAGTGACTCTCATCATTGATGTTTCTCTCTCTCCCTCTCCCTTCCTCTCTCCGAAGTCAATGAAGATATATTAAAAAAAAAAAGTTGTAGGGACATGTAGGTGGATGACCGGATTGAAGGGCAGAAGTAAGTCAGGGTGGTACTTGAATTCCAGGAGCAGGACGCTCTGCTGGAGGAAGATGTCATTTCTCAAGTAAAATAGCAGAGTGAGAGATGAAGAGCAATAAAAAGAAAAGAAAAACTTTTTAGTTTTTAGTTTAAAAATATGAATTTTCATAATATGTGAATTAAAACGTGTGCATTCTAGAAATACGGAACATAGAGAAAAGTATAAAGCAAACTCTAAATATTTTAAAACATTTTGGCATATTTCTTCCTAATTATTATTATGTTTTAATAAACACTCTGGAAAGTAATACATTACAGTAACTAGATCACAGGCTTTGAAATCTAAGGGTTTTGGAGTCAAAACCCTTAGATTTCAAAGGGTTGAAATCTTAGCTCTTCTTTTTACTGTGTGTGTGTAGGCAAATTACTTAACTTCTCTGAACTTCATTCAGTTTTCCCATCTGTACTATAAAAGAATATTTAAGTATGTAGTTAATAATTATTAAAATTATTTTATGGAGCTATATTATCATATATCACCATTCATGCTTTCTCAATTTTATGTACTTTTTAATTCCATGATGGATATTTTTGCAAATTAGTTATTTCTAGTCTTGTTCCTTAGGTAAATTTCTAGCAAATGGAATTTTTGGATTCTTGATACATTTTGCTTTACAAATGCATTATCCCCCCCCCCCC